TCTCTCTCTCTCTCTCTCTCTCTCTCTCTCTCTCTCTCTCTCTCTCTCTCTCTCTCTCTCTCTCTCTCTCTCTCTCTCTCTCTCTCTCTGGGTATCCCCTCCTTGCATTTGAATGTGGCCATCTCTTTGACTTACGCGTGTCGGATATTGTCATCTTGTCATGTTTGAGTTTGGTGTTTTCTTAGGCCTTGTGGCCGATACTAGTTGTATTGTCGTTTGTTTGTAACACGCATGGATGATGTGCAGAGTTTAACTCACCTTGGGGCATACTACCGCTACAAGTTTCTTTGTTCTTGGATGGTGTTTTGTGTGGGCCTTCTCGTCCTTCCTCCCTCCTCTGCCCCGTGTTGTTGCGGTGTAAACGAAACAGGTTTGACAAAAATGTTTGTGAGGACCCGTATTATATGGGTAAATGTTTGAAATATGACGAGACAGGGCATATAAATAAATGTAGTAGCAGTCGCGGCCGCCGAGGTATAAACACCCTCAACCTCTCAAAGTTAGAGATGGCATCGACTTTGGACCTTACAATTATCCCCCAGTCACTGTCTGACCAGGAAATACTTTGTTCTCATGGTTTGATTGAATCCTTAGAAGAGCTGGAAGCAAACCTATTTCATATTTGATAGTTCTCGCCGCAGAGTCAAAGAAAGAAACAAACGAAACGAATTGGAAATTTGTGAGGCCTCGTGAAAGCTCTAATTCGTTTTTCCTTGATTTTTTGAGTCATTGTCACACGGCCCACGTGGGTTGCCGTTGTAAATAGACCTCACGAACCCCGACAACTAATAAAGACAAGTCACAATAGGGATGGAGATGGACGTACATGAGAGACTTTGTTGGGCATACATGGAAGACAGTCTCGCGTTACTTGCAAGAAGTTGTGGTAATGACCCAGGAAACTGTAAATGTTGCAGGTGGTCTTTCCTCGCGAGCGAAACACACTTTCTTTGTAGATCTGACAATATTCTAACTCCTTCGATCTCAGGCTACGGGTCCCAGGTGGCTCGGCTTCGCCCACGCTCATGCTCAGGGCACAGAGTCGTTTGTCCCAAGGTCACCCACACCTAGTACTGCTTTGAGAAGGATGGGGGTGGACCAACGAGTGAGAGAGTTTTGACATTGGGATATGTAGCTAAGCTTTTTCGCTAGGTGGGTAACCTCGTCGATCTTTTGTAAGCATTCATTCTTCGATGTCTGATTGTGTTCACAGGCAATCGCTCCTTCCAATACTCAAGCAGTCTCAGGGGTCCTTTCAAGTTGAATTTTTTTTTTTTGTATGAGCAGGCCAAGCGTCCTCCTTGGCCCACACATCCATTCATTAATCGTTGGATCTAACGACTTCATCGAGGTAGAGGGGACGTCCCTTATCCTTAAACAGATCTATGGGTAAACTCTCTCTATCTCATGCATCATACATCATGTCTTGTTGCTTCCCAATACACCCCTTAATCTTTTCTTCGGGGCCCCGCCCACATTTTCATGTGACTTGATGACCCTCTCATGCACACGTTGTTATCGTAAACTTTCAACAATTTGGACCACATTTCTTTTCACACTGGCAAGCGACACAATATGCACAATAACTCATTTAGAGGGAAAAGTTACGTTCATAACTCATTCAACTTCAGTCTCTTTGCGCCACCCGCCTCTCCAGGCACTATCCAGCAACAGAAAAATTTTACATACTTAAATAATCATTCTAGAGTAAAATTACATTCTAAGTTTCAAATTTTCATTCCATCTTAAAAAATGTCATTCCAATTTTAAAATTTTTCGTCTTACTTGAAAACTTTCTTTCCAAGAATGGGGTATCCCTTCTTATTTGAACTGCATGCTAGAGATGGAATGAAAGTCTGGATGAGTTCATGAAATATTTTAATTAGACTGTCATTCTCAGTAAGGATTTCCAATCATAAATAGGTTGATCCAATCTAAAATTGAAAGATATTTGTTGTAGTAGAATGAAATTCTAATTAAAACATTTCATAAACTCGTCCAGCCTTTCATTCCATCTTGAACAAATAGAAGTAGTTGGAAGGGAAAACTCATATTTAAACAGAAACTTATTAAATTAAATTAAAAATTTTAGAATTTGACGAACATTGGAATGATAATTTATAAATATGAAGGATTTGTTTTTTTGGAATGTTTTTTTTCAACTTTCATTTTCCGTGGGAATTTTTCTGTTGACAATAAAAAAAAAAAATCTGAATTAAATAATCATTCTAGAGTAAAATTACATTCTAAATTTTAAATTTTCATTCCATCTTAAAAAATGTCATTCCAATTTTAAAAATTTTCGTCTTACTTGAAAAATTGCCTTCCAAGAATGGGGTATCCCTTCTTATTTGAACTGCATGCTAGAGATGGAATGAAAGTCTGGATGAGTTCATGAAATATTTTAATTGGACTGTCATTCTAAGTAAGGATTTCCAGTCATAAATAGGTTAATCCAATCTAAATTAGACGATATTTGTTGTCGTAGAATGAAAGTCTAATTAAAACGTTTCATAAACTCGTCCACACTTTCATTCCATCTTGAACAAATAGATGCAGTTGGAAGGGAAAACTCATATTTAGACGGGAACTTATCAAATTAAATTGAAAAATTTATAATTGGACAAACATTGGAATGATAATTTATAAATATGAAGGATTTTTTTTTTATGGAATGTTTTTTCAACTTTTATTTCTCATGGGATTTTTTTTGTTGGAGGTCAAGGTATCCTAGGGTTACTCACCTGCACACTCAATGCAATATAATCAAGCACAACCCCCTTTCTTTCAGGGTCAACATATAGTCTCTTCCGCATGCTTATTTTCTTAGTTCCTTGGTTTCTTCCTTTTTTATTTTTTTTCGTTGCTCACACCATCCTCTTTTTTTTTACATGCAGTCGGGGTGTTGGTCGAGTCTGCTAACCTTTCTCCCTTTAAACCACCAGTACCTCCTGAAAGTGCTCCGCGTTAACGGACAAGATTTTTGGGATGAACGGGTCTGGGTCGGTAGGTATGATTCAACCAGGTGGAAACGACGCGATTTTCACTTTTGGTTGACTGTTCACGCGGAGCACTTTCATGAGGTCCAATTCAACCAAGTGGAAACGACGCGATTTTCACTTTTGGTTGGCCGTTAATGCGGAGCACTTTCAGGAGGTACTGGTGGTTTAAAGTTCAACATAAACATTTTTCAAAATTAAATAATCATTCTGTAGTAAAATTACATTCTAAATTTTAAATTTTTATTTCATCTTAAAAAATATCATTCCAATTTTAAAATTTTTCGTATTACTTTAAAACTTTTCTTCCAAGAATGGGGTATCCCGTCTTATTTAAACTGTATGTTAGAGATGGAATGAAAGTTTGGATGAGTTCATGAAATATTTTAATTGGACTGTCATTCTAAGTAAGGATTTTCAGTCATAAATAGGTTAATCCAATCTAAATTAGAAAATATTTGTTGTAGTAGAATAAAAGTTTAATTAAAAAAAATTGTAAACTCGTTCAGACTTGCATTCCATCTTGAACGAATAGATGTAGTTGGAAGGGAAAACTCATATTTAGACGAGAACTTATCAAATAAAACTGAAAATTTTAGAATTGAACGAACATTGAGAATGATAATTTATAAACATGAAGGATTTTTTTTTATGGAATGTTTTTTCAACTTTCATTTCTCATGGGAATTTTTATGTTCATTGTCAATCCTCAAATCCTTATGAATCCTTCAATCCTTTGTGCTTACAAGTCTTTCCCAAATCTCAAACACTTTTTCTTCTTGATGAGGCAAGGGACCGGCAACCCTCCCCTTGCCCTATCTTTCCACCAAATGAAGCCATAGTTCTTTCACCGTTCGCTCTCAGACTATGTGACAAGTGAGTGGGGAAGGGTTAGTCGCATGCCAAAAGGAGAAGGGAGGGAGAAGGTTTAAGACTAGGCTTACAACATGAAAGGGATATATGAGGGGGGGTTGACGAACAAGGAGAGAGAGAGAGAGAGAGAGAGAGAGAGAGAGAGAGAGAGAGAGAGTCCTCTTACCTCTAATCAAAGGTTATCCCCTACCCGTCCTACTATTGTCCTACCTACGACCCCTCCTATGTTTCGCAATCCCATATTTCATTGAACATCATGATGATGTCGGTCAACTATTGGGCCGGGGGTGATGAACTTGAAGGAAGAAGGTGTGAAGATGATTGGCTATAGCGGATGGGTGAAGGAGGAGGAGGATGAAGAAGGTGTGAAGATGTCTGGTCATGGTGGACGGTTGAAGGAGGTGGAGGAAGGAAAATGCGTGAGGTGGTCGGCTATGGGACTCGGAGATGGGCGAAGGAAGCAAAAGAGGGAGAAGGTGTGAAGATGGTTGACTAGTAGTATGGTGGATGAGTGAAGAGGATGGAAGAGGAAAAGGGTATGAGGTGGTTGGCTATGGTGGATGGGTGAAGGAGATGGGGGAGGAAGAAGGTGAGGAGGTGGTTAAATATGGTAGATGGGTGAAGGAGGTGGAAGAGGGAGAAGGTGTGAGGATGGTTGACTATGGTGGATGGGTGAAGACGATGGAGAAGGAAGAGGGTGTGAAGGTTGTTGGCTATGGGGGATCAGTGAAAAAGGTCGAGGAGGAAGGAGGTATGAGATGGTTGACTATGGTGGATGGGTGAAGGAGATGGACGAGGAAGAAAGTGTGAAGATGGTTGGCTATGGTGGATGGGTGAAGAGGATGGAGGAAGAAGAGGGTATGAGGTGGTTGACTATGGTGGATGGGTGAAGGAGATGGAGGAGGAAGAAGGTGCGGAGGTGGTGGGTTATGGTGGATGGGTGAAGAAGATAGAGGAGGGAGAAGGTGTGAAGATGGTTGACTACGGTGGATGGGTGAAGAAGATGGAGGAGGAGAAAGGTGTGAAGGAGGTCGGCTAGTATAGTGGTTTTCTAAGTTTTTGGTCCCGTCCTTCCCGCATCATCCCAACGTCCGAACCCTCAGAAAATTCAGAATTTAAGTTGCGATATTCAGATTTACAGCAGAGACTTGGACTTTGCAAAAACTCAGACACGCGACAAACTCAGATCCCGAAAGACTCAAATTTTCCATATTTCCGTTTTTGTTGTTTTACTATGGGTGAGGTGGCTTCAGAGATGATAATGTAAAAAAAATAAAATAATATAATGTATTAGCCAACTACTAGGTAGGATTCACCGGATGGATAGTATTCGGATAACCTCGATGATCTCACTATCATGCTTCAATATTAAGGGGTAATCATGCGCACAAGACATGAGTTAAACACGTGTCAATTAAAGCCACACCTGGGAAGGTAAAAAGTTTGTCACAGACGAAAAATAGATTGAGTATCTAACAATCGAATATGCGTCGGCCGCGACTCTAGGCGCGACAAGGGCATTATGTTCGTATAAGAAATCGTTAATTCTACGGATCATGTGGAGGCAGCGAGATTGAAATCGACAGCAAATAGAAAACGATGAGGTGTACCTTTAAGCCTAATCATCATACATAGATGATTAGCCATCCCACATTATGCGATAACATTCTGGAGTTGCGCATAATTTCTTCTATAACGGTTCGAGGCACGACTCAAGGATCCGACATACGAATCTTGTCCTTATTTTCAATTAGTAGGACTACAATGAACGAGACGTTAGAAATATGTCGACGGACCTACCCATACATTTAGTGCTAGGTAATCATTTTTCAAACCGTTCATTGATAGGGGGGCTCTGCCTCGTAAGCAATGATATAAGGAGATCGGCGCCCTAAGAAACAAATGGCGATCGGGTTCAGACGGCGTTTTAACAAAGTGTACCCATACTAGTGAGCGAGCAAACACCCTCAGTTGACCTACCTCTGCAATTGTACGTAACAAAACTTTTGCACGTGGGTCAGTAGCTTGGTGGGGATATACTTGTAAGGGTGGTGACAACCACTTAGGGAAGGTGAGTTCTGCCCCGCGGGAACCTATCATGTCGTAGGAAACCGTGGGAAGTACGGCTGGTGCACCCCACTAGAGTGGCGAGGTGGCAACACAACCGCATTCGTCTCGATGGTTCAAGTTAGCGAGGATTGTCTGTGCGTTGTCTCCAAGTTGTCTCATGTTGTGTTTCTTTTTACTCCTCGTGACATGGTTGGGAGGACTCTCACCTTTTGCGATAAAGGTGGGAGCCGAGGCGCTCGACACAGTGATTTGGCTTCTATGAGGCTGGACCGTCTTGTCGTCTTTTTCATGAACTCGGCCCAAGGGAACTAACCAATGCGCTTGCACCCAGTGGACTACGACCGCTGGTGGCCCCCGAAGCGGATCTGCTACAGCTTGGAGGCTGACCAGGTAAAATGAACCTCCGTTGATGCGGTGCGTCGACGTCCGACACTGCGCCGTTCTATTTTCTGCCTGGGCCGCGCCGTTCCACCTTTTCGAAAATTTGAAGGACCGAGGCTTCCTGCTGACAGCTACCAGTCCTCAGCAAGCAACAACTGCCCGACCCCCTAAAATCGCCCACCCTACAAATTCACCACCCTTCCAAAGGCCGTTGGGCCCATAGGAACAAACCGGTGACTCAAGGGGAAAAACGCAACCCTGACGGGCTGCAAACTCAGAGGTATAAGATGCTCCTCTGACGGTTCGCAAACCCGCTAATCACTACGTTACCCCTCCCCAAGGACATCAACAAACAAATTACGGGCTTCACACCCATGCCCTCACAGTAAGTCAATCTTCCATGCAGGTGGGGGGTGGTGGAGAGATGCCCATGATTGAAGCCCCACTACGGGCTCTCCATTTTTTGCAGTTCCATCATCTGGACTCGAACTCCGGTCTGCATTTCAACAGTTCATGGTGAAACTGACCAGGCTCATTCATACGGCTCTCCATCTTGAAGAGCGTGCAGGCTGAGGACTCTTTCTTCTGACAACCCTGCACGTGTTTTTCCGTTTCGAAAGGGACGGCGGTGGAGCGCAGCCGCACTCTCGCCGCACTCTCGCCGCACTCGCCAAAATGGTGGGGCAAGTCCCTATATCTTTTAGGGCATATATGCACACTGCGAGTTTTATATGAATTTCCGGTCCGTGATTGCATTCAGGGACGTCCAGTCCTGCTGTGCTTGTCGTGATATATATATTTATGTCTATATCTATATCTATATATATAGGGAAATGCTCGTGTGAGTATGCCTGTAGATGCTGGAAATCGCTCGACAATTCTTCCATCCAAAATTCAGTAGCCCTTAAGATTTTTGAACCTGAGCTTGCAGAGGGCAGCAGCAGCAGCAGCAGCAGCAGCAGCAGGATTCACAAGAAAAAGAGCAGCAAACGAGAGCGATGGCTGGTGAGGAGATCGACATCAAGCCTTTGGCGATGGTGGAAGTGTGTAAATTGGCGCCGAGAATGACGATGGGGGATGTGATGTTGCAAGGAGGTGCTATTGCGCAGATGGACGCAGATACACTTCGCAAGCAGCTGATGGCCATAGCTGAAGCAACGGGGGGGCATCTGGAGACATCACCGTCCGGCGAGGTCGTGTATGTGTTCCCTCAACATCCTCTCCGCGCCTTACGGCTTCGTTCTACTCGAGGGCGGCTCCTGGCAACCCTCCGCAGACTCTGGAAATGGGCCTGCATCGGGGCTCGGATCCTATTTGGGGTGTTCCTATTTGCGTCGATTGCTCTCGCAGTGGCAGCCATAGCAGTCATCATCATCCTCGCATTGTTTCAGAGAGGTGGGGGCGACAGAGGGGGTGAACCGCTTCTGCCTATACACACAGGACCAGGAGGAGGAGGAGGGGGGGGAGGGGGTGGTGGTGGCGGCGGTGGAGGATTTCGCTTTTTCAACTTCTGGCTTTATGAAGGACTTGTGTGGAGGGATATTTGGTTGCTAATGATGATCACTGAACAAGAAGAGAGGAGGAGGTACTACGTTCGTCGTTGGGAGGATGAAGCAGATCCTGCTGACCTCAAACCGTCTTACAATGCCATGCGCGGTGGAGGTGGAGGTGGTGGAGGAGGAAGAGGAGGAGGAGGAGGAGGAGGTCCGGGTAATGGTCGAAGTGGGGGAGATGGCGGCGGGGGCGATAGAGGCCCTCCTCAGAGTACTCTTGGCGAGGTGGCTGACTTGGACTCGGCAAACGAGGGTCCGACGGCAGCGACTCGAGACCCTGGCTTCTTTGAGGCCATTTTCTCTTTTGTGTTTGGTGATGGAGATGCAAACAGCGATTTGGAAACGAGGAGGTGGCGTGTCATCGGCCTCTTACTTAGGCACAACAAAGGAGCTGTTTTTGCTGAGCAGGTTGCGCCTTTTTTGGACACGTGGCTGCTTCAGAATGCCAGAGGGGGGGGCAGTTCCGCTGGAGGGAGGATCTATCAGACGCTCAAGGTATGGTGGCGGTGGATTGCCCGCCGAAGGCGGGACGATGGTGAGGCTGAGGATTCACAAATGCACGAGGGGTACATGCTGAGTGTGCTGAGACGCTTTGGAGGGCATGCGGAAGCAAGTGATGATGGCCGGTTGGTTTATGTGTTTCCTCATCTTCAAGTCTCTACGTTGTCATCTTCGGCAGAGGCTAGCTCCAGTTCCAGCGCCGCCGCGCGGCCTGATTTGACGATCCCAGCACCGATGCCGCCGCCAATATATGAGCAGTTTCAGCCTTTAAGCAACGGGGGCTCGAAGCAGCCCCTTGTCATTGCCTTAGGCCTGCTCAACTTGATCTTATTATTGGTCTTCAGGCGAATGGGTGGGTTGAAGTTTGAATTCGTGCCCAACCCTGCTGATACTCTTGCAGTGGAGGTGGTGGGGACCACCACGCAGGATGAGGGAGCGGCGGAGGTTGCCAGGCCTCGGATGGACCAGGAGGCCTTGCTCATCCTCACCATCCTCTCCTTCATCCCTAAGCTTCTGAGCTATGTCTACAAACCGCTCATCGTTTACGCATCGGCCTTCTTCATCATTCCAGGCCTCCGATACGTTTGGGCCATCTACGCCAATCGGCAGATTTTGGCGCGCAATCTAATTCGGCGGGAAAGAGCTGCAGAGGCGATGAGGCTTGTGTTGGCGGCTGCAGAGGAAAAGGCAGAGCAGGCAAAACGGTACCAAACTCTGGAAGTTATTTCATCGCAGTCGTGACGTCTTCTTTTCCATTCCACTCACTCTTTTTTATCTCCATGATCCTGCGCTCCAAGCAATTCATTTTCGTCGTTGCCCCTCCGCCAAGGAATTGATTTTCGTCGTTGCCCCTCCGCCAAGCAATTGATTTTCGTCGTTGCCCCTCCGTCTGTCTGCCTTAAATAAAGGGCCGCCGCCAACGAGTTGCGTATTAGGTAGGTATGGTGTGTGCTATGTAGGCATGCTGTGTGTGTGCATTGAGAGTGGAGTGGATGAACGTAGGGGGGGCGTTAGTTAGCTGCTGTGCATTGAGAGTGGAGTGGATGAACGTAGGGGGCGTCAGTTAGCTGCTGTTGGGATGAAAAAATTGTCAATGTATTTTTTTTTAATTTTTTTTTAGGGTTTTACCACAACAGATCACATGGTTGTGAATGCTGTATCCATTCGAGCGTCCCAGTTTCTAAGACAGCAATCACGAGAGTGCAGATGACAGTGCAAGGCGGATTGCATCGTAAGCAGACTTCATCTGGTTTGCTAACGTATTTTTCTTTCTTTTTTTTTCTTTCTTTCGTTTTCTCTTTTTCTTATTTTTTTAAGCAGGGTTGAAAATGTAAATGCAATCGAAACTTGAAAGTGTAAATGCAAAAGAAACTCGAGCCTTCAGTATTGTGGCGGCCACGACGAAAATACACTCCGCTATAGTTATTGAAACACACACACACACACACACACACACACACACACACACACACACACACACACACACACAGAGACACACACACACACACGCACACACACGGCCCCTCCCCGAAAGAAAACACAGTTAGGCACAAGTCAGCCTTTGGCACAGCTAGGTGGTGTCATGTGGGCCGGGCGGTATTGTGGGGGCTGGATGATACTATGGGGGTGGGGTCGTACTGTGTGGACTGGGTGCTGCCATGTGGGGCGGCTCTATGTGGACAGAGAAACACACACACACACACACACACACACACACACGCATCTGCTTCCACTGCAATTCGATCCCATGACCTGTTTACTAACAGTTAGGATGGGGGCTGGGTGATACTATATGGACTAACCAGAGAAACACACACACACACACACACACACACACACACACACACACACACACACACACACACACACACACAACACACAGCTGATTCTCCTGCAATTCGAACCCATGACCTGTTTAATAACAGTTAGGATTGAAGCTGGGTGATACTTTGTGGACTAACCAAAGCAGAAAAACACACACACACACACACACACACACACACACACACACCTGATTCCACTGCAATTTGAGCCCATGACCTGTTTACTAACAGTTAGGATGGGGGCTGGATGATCCTATATGGACTAACCAAAGCAGAGAAACACACGCACACACACACATACATCTGATTCCACTGAAATTCGAACCCATGACCTGTTTACTAACAGTTAGGATTGAAGTTGGGTGATACTATGTGTGTGTGTGTGTGGGGGGGGGTTGTGGACTGGGTGCTACCGTGTGTGGCGGGTCGATGTGGCGAGTCCTTATCCATCTGTCAAATGCATCCTGGGCAGACTGTCGGTCCAGGTTCAACCTCCTGAATAGTCGGTGAAAGTCCGACGAAACAGTCTGTTCAGCACAGTCATGCTTTTTTTGAGTGTATAACGAATATGACAACACACACATCTGATTTCACACTGCAATTCGAACCCATGACCTGTGTACTAGAATTCCAGTGTGTCCTAAGATGTTTGTACTGCTCATCCACACTGTGGGTGCTTGAATACCTTATCTTTCCTCTTCCCGACATCGGATTCCATTTCACTTGGGACTTTCAAAACGTTTACTCATCCACACTCTCTTCAGGTGTGTACTTGTGTACTCGAGCAACTCTACTCGTTCCATTGGAATGCGCACTATGAAGAAACGACAACAGCGTGCAGGGCGCGAAAAAGAAAAAGACAGAAAGGACCCAAATGCTCTAAATCGAGGTCTGGCCCTTGCTGCTTCACGAGTCCCGTTGGTTCTTGTGAGCCGAATGGGGCCGGTACGCGAGACCTGGGTTGGGTTATATAGGGTTCAGCCTCCTGATGAGTAGGGAGGTGAAACTCCGACGAAACAGTTTGTCACAGCCCCCCTCGTTTGGTTTGTCCTCTTCTCCCTCTCTGCCTACGGTTTACCGGGCAGCTCTGTTTGACTATATATCATCACATAAATATCAGAGCGCAAAAGCGAAAAAAACAAAGGAAAACAAGAAAAACTCAATTCATTTTTAATCTTCTTCCTTACAAGTCCCCCTGTTCAGAACCTCTTGCGTACAAGGCCGCCAACGTGTATGTAGATATAGATATAGATATAGATATAGATGTAGATAAGGAGTATAGATATAGATATAGATACAGACATATAGATATAGATACAGATATATCAAGCATGGCAGCAGTGGGCCTGAGCCACCAGTACCTTTCCCCGTTTGAAAATCAAATGAGCGGCCGGTATATTCGGGAGCCAAGCGCGTTTCGGTACCGAAATGGCTGGTGGCGCCAGCCGAAAAGAGGCCTGCTTCGTGTTTTTTTTGGTGCGCAGGGCGAATTTGGGCTCGGCATGGATGGCTGAGAAAGGTACTCTGCAGGGTTCTGTGAACTTGTATCCCATGTCTGCTTTGCAGAATATATCATATATGTATATGTATAATGCCTTCCTCCTCACCCTGGCTTTCCCTGATCTCCCCCCCCCTGCACTCCAAGAAGACTTCTCCTTTTCCTGCAATCCCTCTCCATCGAGCATTTGTGAGGGCATAAGTTAGAACAGAATTGCTCCAGTGACTGTCGACAAATTGGTACCCCTTTCAGGCTGTATCCGTTTTCGAATCCCTCCATCGGATTCAGATAAATGTATTGCAGACACAACAAAGTCGTGTTTGGGCCTGATGATGTTCCTGCACTTTTTTTTTTTTTTTTTTTTTTTTTTTTTTTTTTTTTTTTTTTTTTTTTTTTGAAATGAACTTAAAGCAAATCAAGAAAAAAAGAAATGTTTCCTGCGCTTTTCATTGATCTTTTGCCAGCAAATTCGGCTACAAGGAGAGCATATTCTCACGATCCTGCTTCATTTATAATGCCGAGCTCAAATGTCGTATTCAAGACGAGCTGAACTCCAAAGATTCGGAAGTGGAAAGAGATTAAAAAAAATGAACAGAATGAGAGGATAGAAGAAGAAGAAGAAGAAGAAGAAGAAGAAGAAGAAGAAGAAGCACTGCACAACTGGGCACCACCTTCTCCCCCTCCCTTCTTCCCCCTCTCATCTTCTTCTCCATGCCTCCTCGTCTTTGACTAACCAATTAATCGCAACAACAAATGAATGAATTAATGAAAGGAATCATGTCCTAGCATTCCCCCTTACTGCCAGCTCTTAAAGAGCCCTGCTTTCGGCCTCAATCTAATCATTCCTCTCCTGTCGATTGCATATCTAGCTATGGCACTTCATCCATGTCAACCATGGATGCTCAGAGAACAAGGCAACGACTGCTGTGCGTCTCCCATCTCATTCCCCCATAGCCAACACTCTCGGACAAGGTACAAGACCAGTCTGTACCCACACCGGGCCCTTGTCACATGCCCGAAGACAATCGGATGGGCATGGCGCAGAGCCCAAGAACGGACCAAAGGAGAATGAGCAAACACAATGCAGCGGAAGACTGATACACACAGATCTGAGTCAATTCGACTCAGACAGACTGCAACTCACTCATCATCAATGTAGGGATGGGCCATGGCGCTGCACACACATAAGAAGAGCGCCTTGACCAAGATCATGCACAGACGAAGAGGGAGGGAGAAGAGACGAGGGGGAGGAAGAGATGAGATGTCGTCAACAAAATAGTGCCGTCGAGATATCATCTGCCCAAAATAAACTCAATGTCTCTGTCCAACTCCCAACTTTCTCTCTCTCTCTCTCTCACTCATAGAAGGAAGAAGCATTGGAGGGAGGGCGGAGAGAAGAAGGAAGAATGGAGGTGGGAGAGAGAAGGGAGAAGACGAGTTCCCCTCACTGTGTCCCCGCAGTGGAGCCAGATACTTGTTATGTACACGATTGAATTTCAATCCACAACGAATTCACACGTTTCCATTCACGCATGCAATTGCAGAGTAGGCTCGAAGGAGGCAAATCCACAGAAAACCAGAGAGAGATATGTACAGCGGAAGCTCAATACACAAGAGAATTGCAAAACGAATTTCGATTCCTATTTATCCCCCGTCGTCCTCCAATCAATCCAGAGTACTTTATTCCAAGAATCACAACCGCTTTGTCAACAACCCGAAACAACCAAAAACAAACGTTCAACGAAAGTTCATGGAGTCTTCTTCTTCTTCCTCCTCGCCACCTCAGAAACCTTGGCTATGGCTGCCCTAGCAGCAGAACCCCAAACTGTCACCCCGGAGCCAATCTGAACTAGCAAACCCCGAAATAGCCGCGCCAGCTCAGCAGCCGCATGGCAGTGCAGCGCTGGAGAATCCTGATGAAGAAGAAGGCGACCAGCAGGTACTTCGAGAAAGAAAGTTCCTCGTGAAGAGGAATTGCAGATATGGCTGCCAAATAGAATGTGAAGGCGCCGTTCGAACATCCGACGGCACAGGTACGGTGAAACTCTCCTGCAGCGCTGCACACTTGTAGCAGCGCGCTCTTCAGCTTGAGTCCCCACCACCAGCTATGGCTTTCCGAAGTAGAAGACGGCCAAAATAGCGCAGCTGTGTTTCAACGAAGGACAGATATAGTTTCCCCAGCACAGAACAACGTGAAAAGACCCCAACTCTATTTCCCTCTCGCTACTTCTTGACTGCCCAAAGCTAGAACTAACGGGCCTACAGGAAACAGGCAGAAAGGGACAAAACTAAATGCCCTAATGGTTTAAGCCTACATCTAAGAGGGAGCCCAGCAACAACAGGTCAGGGGGTCAAGCCCCTTGGGCATAGAAAACACACAAAACAAACAAACATGCAGCAAAGGTTATGGGATCAAGTCCTGGAGACACAAAACCGACAAAACAGCCTAGCAGTTAAGTGTACACCCGCTGGTACCTGCAAGTTCATTGCATACTGACCGGCGTAAAGGTGTTGCCTTGGAGCTGTGTCTGCAGGTGGAAGACGGCTGAAGACCCGCAGGAGCTATGGCGCCCAGGTAAGTGGACAAGTGAGTCTCCTCCAACCTCCTCCCAACCTCCTATCCTACTGCTCTGCCTAACTCCTCTAGGATGAAACAGCGCTGCTCCACAGTGCAACCTGTTCCACAACCTCAATCTCCAACAACTGCATGAGGAACTGAGGCTGGACCCAGCTATATAGCGCTGGGTCTGCCAGTCCCTCAGGCGCCTGGACCCATCTTTATAGCGCTGGGTTACCAGTCCCTCAGGCGCCTGGAGCCATCTATATAGCGCTGGGTCTACCAGTCCCTCAGGCGCCTGGACCCAGCTATATAGCGCTGG